AACAAAACTACTTTGAGAGTATCTCTTCTCAGTGACATCCTCCAAGGTTTATTTTAAGCTGCAGAGAGGTTTGGGAAGCTATTCTTTTAGTTGCTACAAAACCCACCCAAATTATTTCTTACAACAGCTGTCTAGTTAATAAGTGCTCAAAACATTCCTTGTATAGGCCATGAATACAACGTTACAGGAAAACTACTATAATGCACAAAACATCTTAGCTATGCAAAGATGCAGAGTCAAACCACTTCGGTAGAATAAATGATTTGAAGTAAAAAAACCTGGATATCCACACTCTTCTACAAGAGAAGACAGCCCTTCAGAGAAACAGCTGCTACTCTTCCAAAGCCTTAGGAAAATCTCAGTCTCAAAGATTTTTATCAGCAGAATGTTACTATGAATTAGTGAAGCTTTGTAGTGATTTCTGTGACAATATTTGCAGCTATACAGTAAATTGGCAAGGGAAGCCAGTTTAAATAGGACTGTCCATATAAAGACTTACTTGAAAATAAATTAGCAGCTTCATAATCTATGTAAGGTCTTCTTATAGTTGCAAGGATGAAATCCAGTGTATAACTTCAGGCTCAACTGCATTTTGATACAGATCTTCAGGAAATACAGAACCCTCCCCCCAGTCTCTTAAGAATAGTTGGCAGAAGCTTTCAATACCTTTAAATAACTCTTTATCAAGTGTACACAAAGCAGACTTATGGCCTAGTATTTTCTCTCTTACAGTGCCTGGCCTGATGCAGCAGCACAAATAGTTCAATTATGTAATTTCCACTACTTGTAAGGACAGCCAGAACCTTCTATGGGGAGCAGCAGTAGAGAACAGCACTTTCTGAATTAAGGTCTCAAGCCTTCAAAACTTTTATTATGGAGTTTCTTTACCTTCTACAAAAACACAAGTAGTCTAAAAGACCGTATTCTAAAATCTTAAGAGTCCCAAGTAAGTTAACAGATTAACTATGATTTTACCAGAAATGTCTGTTCATCCCTGCAGCTGCTATCCTACTGCTGAAAGAAAAAAACCAACACTGAAGAATACTGATGCTTCTGAACTGTTACTTACTTTCTTGCAATTCCCTCACATTCTTTTGCCCTCCATATAGTAGTAGACTTGCAAAAGATCATCTGAAAACATCATTAAGAAAATATAAAGGCAGATGACACTTCATACATTGTCAGTCAGGCTTACAGTACACGCTAATGCTCAATGGGTAATTCGCCTCCTACACAGCTTCTCGTGTCATTCCTCCCTATTCGTTGATGTTATGGAAATAATTTCAAATTCCCTGTAGGAGATGCCTCTCTTATCTATCCCCTTCTCTCTGTGACACAATAGCAAATTCTAAAGCTTGCAAAGGATCCCAGACACAACTGAGTCCCAGAGCAGACATGCTTCCTTCAGCCCACAGCTTCTGCACCAGCACCCCACACAATTCCTTCTGCATTTAACACTGCCACAGTGACCAGCTCTGTGCCCTCCCTAAAAAACGCTTTTTGGCATGCTTGCCTGTATTATTATTATTCTGAAATAGCAAGTACTGTCCCTACCAAACTCCACCAGCTGTATCAATTCTGGCACAGCAGTAGAGATGTTTGGTAAGAGCAAGACATATTGCAGGACATGAGGATATCCCAAGCACCTCTTTCTTTTCAGAAATGCTCTAGTGTCTCCCCAAATGACCAATATTTCAGTCCATTTAAGTTTAGGACAGTCCTTTACATCTCTGAATCTGATGTACACTGCACAGAAAAATCAACAAGACTGTACTGAGCTTGGCCAACAAATCAATGAATTCCTTTGTCACACACACACAGTTTATAGAATGCTTATGGTATGTTGCATGTCATGGGTTTAGATTTCACTAGACTATGATGTGTGCATAAAAATCATAGAATGGCTTGGGTTGGAAGGGACCTTAAAGACCATCTCATTCCAAATCCCCTGCCATGGACAGGGACACCTTTCACTAGACCAAGCTGCTCAGACCCCCATCTAACCTGGTCTTGAATGCTTCCAGGGATGGGGAATCCACAGCTTCTCTGGGCAACCTATGCCAGTGTCTCACCAGCCTCACAGTAAGGAATTTCTTCCTAATATCTAATCTAAATCTACTCTCTTCCAGTCTGAAGCCATTACCTCTTGTCCTGTCACTACATGTCCTGTAGTGTAAAAATTTCCTCTCCATCTTTCTTGTAGGCTCTCTTCAGGTATTCAAGGCCACAATTAGGTCACCCCAAAGCCTTCTCGAGGGTGCATTCAATTCCTTTGTCTGTGTCATTAGTGAAGATATTAAATAACCCTGGTCCCAGTATGGACCCCGAGGGACACCACTTGTCACTGATGTCCATCAGCACTCTGAGCCAGCAACTGCAACCCTCTGGATACAACTGTCCAACCAATTTCTTATCTATATAAACAATCCACTCATCAAATCCATCTCTTTCTAATTTAGAGAGGATGTTGTGGGAGATCATGTCAAAGGCTTTACAGAGGTCCAGAGAAATTACATCTGTAACCCTTCCCTTGTCCACCAAGGCAGTCACTCCATTATAGAAGGCCACAGGGTTGGCCAGGCAAGACTTGCCCTTGGTGAAGCCGTGCTGGTTGTCCCAAATCACCTCCCTGTCATCCATGTACCTTAGCATAGCTCTTAGGAGGATCTGTTCCATGATCTTCCTGGACACAGAGGTGAGGTTGACAGGTTGGTAGTTCCCAGGGTCCTCATTTATACCCTTTTTAGAGATGGGTACAATGTCTCCCTTTTTCCAGCCACCTGGGACTCCACCTGACAGCCATGATTTCTCAAGTATCAGGAAGAGTGGCCTGACAACTACATCAGCCACTTCCCTCAGGACTCGGGATGCATCTCATCAGCTCTCATAGACTTATGTATAAAAGGAACTTTAAGAATATTATCCTGTAAACTTTTAATGTCGAGATTTTTGTTTATTGTAACACAAGTGATGTTGCTCATTGTCAAATGGTTTAGAGAACTGTAAATTAAGCTCTGTTTTAAAAAAACCACAACATTTGTATCAAGAAGTAACAAACTAGATTCGAGAGCTGTGAAGGAAGACTGTCCACATCAAGTGGGCAAGAAAGGGAGAAATCAGTGAAGTACCTGATGCACGGGAATTAAATACTTGAATTAAGATGAAAGGCTTCAGTACTTTCAAAATTCAACTGTATTTTTAAATAGGTCTACTTGTACCCTACTTAAATAATGATGTCAATACACAGGTAAAGACAAGTTTTAGCATGTCCTTACCCTGTAGTAAAAACAGGGTAGTTCAGGACAGCTGACTCCTCTCAGTGATGCAGAGTACCTGCCTTTCTATTGCCCTCATCATGCAGCCAGAACCTGGTGATTAGTACTTACAAGCCATTAGGGTGTGCGAGTTCAAAACCAAGCACACTTGACAGTAACTCCCTTGCAGGAATGTACCTTGTATTGATTACATCTGCATCTATCATTTTATTTACAATCAAACAGGCTGTAAGGACAGTACACTGTATTATGTCCTGTTGTTGAGAAGTTAAATGCTTGTAAGAAAAGTATTTGGTTTCTAATTAAAATGCTGAACAAGCACAACTTTCTTCTAATAGTTAAATAAGCATAAAGTGTTAACACAGCTCCTAACCATGTCTCACCAACAATACAAGCTTGTGCTTTCCAAGCTTTAAAGCTATTTGTAAAAACATCTGAACATACACGTTGCCTCTACCCAGTCTCTTCATCTATTCTAAATTAACCAGCATGACAGGAATACCACAGGAATGTAGCTTTTTTGTCAAAAGATAATCAGCAGATGTAGACAGCAAAGGACAATAACGTTTCAAGGATTCTAGCAATCTCAGATTTGGGTTTGGCTCCTCAGCAGTGCTCCCTGAATTGAGTGTAGTTCTTCAGTAAAAACTGACTCACTTCTGCACATTTTCATATTTATAAAAGTTATGAAATTTAATGAACGTTTCAGTTGGCAAAATCTCCCTCTCCTAAATTCTAGCATTCACCACTGAGTCTCTGAGTTTACAAAGACTTGTGATGAGAGGATTTATTGTTAATTAGCTACTTAAAATTTAACAGAGAATTGCCCTTGGGAAGAGACAGTGAACAGAAAAGATTTCTCTAAAATTTCTCTGACAAAGTGTGAGGTTAAACAAAACTTTTTTTTTAATCTATCTTACCACAAGTACTAATGGCACAAACATAAGTTGCCATTATAGAACTGATCCTATTCTTAGTAAACAATGCACTATTTTTTCCATACTTCCATCTATAACTACCTCGACATAATATCCCCAAGTAAATACTCAAAAGGGACAAGGAGTAGCTTTGAGCCTACAGAAGTTTTCTTTATTGTTCAGAAATTTTTGGCAGAAGTCACATTTTCTTTTTTTTTTTTTAAAGTCTTTTCCTTGGATTATTTAATTTATAGGACAGCATCATCAGAATAATTTAGCCTTTACAACAATTAACTACTAAAACTCAGTAGTTAGACTTTTTATTTAAAAAAAATCTTGGTCATCCATGTTTATGATACCTATACACATGGTTATAATTTGCTGAATCACATTACAGATCAGAATACTAGCTCACTGGAAAAGACTTTTTTTTAAAGCATCAAATATGATAGTATTAAGTGTCAGAAAGGCACTAGTCTACACTGCTATTTGTGCAGTCATCTCAGCCAGTGCAGTGAAAGTACAAACTCAGGATCTTCTGCTCTTTTGTTAGTTTTCCACAATCAGCACTTCGGAATAATTTATTTTGCAAATGGATAATTTTTAATATGCAAAATAACTAGGAACTAAGATAAGAAGTTGCAGAATACCTAGTAACACAGCAGCTCCCCTCAAATTAAACCAGGATAAACTAAAGCCTAGGAATAATAAAAATTTAGTGTCATATTATTACATAAAGACTGTAAACATAGGCATATACAAGGCACAAAAAGTCTCAGACATTTGCCACATTTTATATGAACAGTACAGATTATGCATGCACAGATTATGAAAACAGAAGAGTTTGAGAGTCACAGATGTGCTACAATTATAGAAAAGAGTAATAAATTATTCAGCCACTTCATACAGGATGTGTCCTCTCGTGCAACAGTAAAAAAGTCCACGTTAGAAGCAGTTTTAGACTACACTTGTTCAGAGCACACCTTTGAAACTAAGATTTTAGAACGAAAATAACACATTTCTCATCCACAGCAGTAACCCCAGTTGGAATGTACAAAAAACTCCCAAGAATTCTGCATTATTTAGACATAAACCTCCCATCCATTCCCTGTAATTCAGCCATAAATAATCATACAACACACATGATGTTGTAAAAACAGCCAGTATATGGGATCAGAGTGGACATGTGTCTTTTTTCAAAGATAGGCAGATATGGATCAAGGCAGGCATCTCTCTAGACTTGGAATTCCAATTATCCCTAAATATTACGTGGATTCCTAAAAAGTGAGTTTTCACTTCGTTCAATTACATACTTGTTAAATCAATTCTAAACTTTTCTCTCAAAGACAGGAGAGGTGGTTCCATGGTTTAACATGAGACCTAAAGAGTCCTTTTCTCTGATGATACATCTTCACAAACAAGAAGCTTCTGCATGTCATTTTGACCAAGTTATATGGTTTTGCAAGGGCCGAAATGATAGAATACAGACTACTCAGGACTTTTGTTGTTGCTGAGCTGATGTTTTTGAACAGTGCCTACTGCCTCTTTAAATAGCATAATCCTACCACAACTCCCTCATTAACTTCTGAATTAGTTCATTAGCCCATAACAAACAGGTTCTTACACTGGTATTTATCTTGTTCCACAGATGAAAAAAACTGACTCGAAAACAACCCAAAATTTGGCCTAAGAAGGTCATAAAATGCCACCAAAAAGGCCACAAACTTTAAAAAAAAAAGATCCCCAGCTCTCAACAGTTATTCTTCAACAAAAGTTGTTTCCTGTTATACACTTTCACACACTTTCTATGGTCTGTCCTCCATTAGTAACTTACAAAAAACAGTACCTGGAACATGAAGTCATTTGAGTTGGGTGTTAGCTCTACGCTACTGTTTCTGAGAGAAGCTACACAATTGCAAGACAAGGCAACATCATAAAGTTAGTTTTTTTTGTCCTTTAAATAACTGTTCAGAATTCTTTTCTATAAGATACTTCCATTTTAATTAATAAAACGACAAACCTTGTTTATTAGATGCTCAGTGACCACTTCTCTTAGTCCAGTGTAGAGTTTTTCACCATGTTTATGTAACACCATTGTATATGCATTCCTATACAGCTCCTCAAAACTGAGACCGCTATTGTTCTTACGCTGGATCTCTTGGATTGCATTTTTCAGAAGATCCCAAATGCTGTTCACATATTTCTCATCCATAGTCATCTGTAAAAATAAAACAATAGGTTATTGTTTAGAATCAAAAAAGAATATAGATAATAGAAGGTAATTGTTCTGCCACATCTTGTTGATTTTATTATCACAAGGTTTCTCAAACTTTATTGAAATAGTGTTTATGAAACTAGCAAGGATTTAAAGAAATAGTTACGGAAATTGTAATTTGTTAAAGTTTAATGCTTTTCCCTTTCAGAGCTGCAAATCCACAGAACCCAACTCCAGAGCCTTTTTAGGTGGAAAGGCAGGTGTTCATGGCCATGAGTCTCTTCCCTACTCTTCCTCCACACTGCTAACAATGGTGGATGGTTAACTCTCATCCCATACTACACGTTACTTGGTGCCTCCTAAACTGTACTGCAACACTAATCTGCTTCACCAGACCCCAAATCAACCTGTACGATAACAGATAACGTCTGACACAGGGTTAGCAAACTCAAGTCATCTGCTTGATCCACTAGGTGCTTCAAAATATGTCAGATAAAACAGTATCTGGGATTGCAAGTAAGTGTAGCAAAAAATTATCAGATGTCAGGATTGCTCAAAGTTTGTGAGTCAGTTTGGTTTAGTTTATATGAAAACAGGAACTGAGTTAGCATTTTACATCTAAAGAAAAAGGATGAAGAGTGAAAAAAGCTGCTATTCCCACAGTTACTGTGGAAGAAGAAAATATCCCACACACCAATCTACCAATATTCCAGATAAGAGTCTACCAATAACGTCAAAGTAGCCTTTAAATAAGAGCTAAAGTAGTGAAAGAGTAAAGAATAATGGTGTGACATTACAGAGGAAAATCATGACCAGGTGTAGTCTACCTCTCCTTCCCCTTCCACCCAAGAACCATTAATAGAAGAAAAATATGGAAAACTAGATCTGACTGCAGTTTTAATCAAACACAATTATTAGCAGAACTTTTCTCATAATAAGTATATTTTTACATGTATTTTCAAGATATCGTATCAACTTCTCTAGGCATTACAAATAAAAGTACAGCTCATAATAAAGAGAAGCCATTCATTGCCTTGGGGGGGAATGGGCTGCTGAACAAAATCAAACCAAGACACACAACACACAATCTTCCATCCTGCTTGTCTTCTGGAGTTTTGGTTAAATACAAAGATTTTCATGATAAAAATAACCCTATCACTACTTTTCCCACTTCTCTGATACCAGATCCACTAGACTACTCAACTCTATGTACCAAAAACTTGAGATATGGTGTTAGATATCAAAAAATTCTTAGTTCCCCATCTCCCAAAAGTAAAGCCTCAAAGTAGCAGAGGAATGGCGGATGGAACGTCACGTGTCCCTCCACACTTTTTGCCTATTCTGCTATGTGTAATACTGAAAGGTCAGTAATTCTGTTTTTAATTTGCATTTGCTACATTGGTGCCTCTTCAGGGAAATTATTTTCTAAAGCCTTCCTGAACCAGCAATTTTACAAGTACTGATAATGAAGGCAAGCATTTAGATTTGCAGACAGCAATCCAAGTAAAAGCTTTTCAGCCTTCTTTTCAAAAAAACGAGGTTTTGTTTTCAAACAAAGCATAGACTCAAACCAACACCTCCCAATGTCCTTTCCTCCCCTTGCTAATCAAGAATCTCCGAGCCAACACGACCTTTTTATCTCGACTGCGATTTAATTGCACACTGTATTTTAGAAAAGGTGTGATCTGTATAAACCCGGCAAATCACGGAGGTGTTACAGCACTGCTGCTTCTGGGCTGGTCACAGTGAACACCTCTGTGTGTTACAGACAAAGCAGCACTTTTGATAACTCAGATCTGTTCAGGAAAAAACTAAAAGTGAACTGTTTAATTCTTCTACTTTTAATCCAAATGCTATAAAAACAAAGGAAAGACTGTAGTGTTATTTGCTCCAAACTCACTGAATACAAACATGAACATCGAGCTTTCTGCCACGTAACAGTTGACACACCACAAGCTGCTCTGGTCTGGAAGCACAAGAAAGGTGCATAAAAGGTAATTTTAAGGAGTACACACCTCCATGGGATAAATACACAGAAATATTTGAAAAAGTATTATAAACTTATTACCTTTTAGGATTAAGCATGAAGGACTCTGCTTTTCAGTGCAGCTTCCTATTCTGCTGATGACTTAGATTAACATCTGTGAGGTTTTATGGGAACAGGTTTGCTCAAGTTCTAGGATATCAAGGATATCTAGGATATCTGAGCACTGTCTTCCAAAAAAGCTCTAGCACAGCTGGCTTGTTTGCAGCAGTGTTTTCTAACAAAGCAAAGACTCCTAACACTTTAAATAATTCCATTCTATTTGGCAGTAAGTCACTGCAGTAAAGTTTGAGCAAAAATGTATTATTTCCTCTCCACTGCTGAAAAATTGTGTACCATTTGAACAGAAGAGGTCTTCCTGTATTCTCAAAGGTACGTAAGATTTGCAATGGCTAAATCTACCCTTGGATTATTTAACTCACAGGTTCATCTCTTTTCATCCCCTTTTCCTTAAGTCAGGCTTGTATGCAGATTTAAAATCCAAACAACTAACCAATAAATATGTTTTTGATACCACTCGAACACTTTGCCATTTTTCAAAATTCTGTACAAAAGCATCTCTGAAAACACTATTAGAGAACTGTGACTCAACAGGGAAAATTTGTGCAACTCTCTGGATCCCTACTCTATGAGTGATAGACTTCCACAAATATGAACACAGAATTAGAGCCCTGCTGTTTTTCCATGTTCATTCCCAGATTTCTTTTAATGGTTATATTTTAAAAGTGAACTCCACATTTTTAATATAGTTGCCTTGCTCATGCCTTGCTTGTGTCATGTATTGTTGCAGATTTAGCAGAACCCGGATTGCTGCTTCTGCTGGTGCTTTGAAAAAAAAAAAACAAAAAACACACAGGTCTGGAAAGGCTTTCAGAAGCAAAATCCCATTAACTTCAGTAGTGTCTACACCCAGATTCACTAAGATAGTAAGAAGCCAGTGTCCAAATAGAGGAAATGTGTTAATGTACTCCTGCTTATCTGAACATTACCTTTCTTGGGGAATGGGAGAGAGACCAAGTCTGTTATTGGCAGGAGAGAGAGCTGTTTATAAGAAGCCGCTAGTTGGAAAACTTCCACAAACCGCTGCCCAAATGCTAATGATTCAAAGATGCAACTTGAACACAAACATCTGAACTCAGAGCATAGCACAAGTACATCTTCAGGAAATTAGACTAAAATGTCAGTGTACATGAAAGTGCAATCATCTCACCAAAAAAAAAAAAAAAGTCTTCAAAGGACTCAAAAGGTCCTTTATTCCACAGTGCAGGATCAGATACTCTCAAGCCCCTTCCTTTAACAGTGTTTGTCTATCATATTAAAAATTACCAAGACCAAATAAACAATCACTGCCAGCAATCTATTGCCAAAAAGCAGGTAAAGGTGGTAACAGTCCTGAAGAGACTTCTCAGTGTCTCCCTCCCAGAAGCTGGCACCTGTTTGAGTAACTTACTGGCATCAATCACAACAGAACAGCTCAATTCTAGGAGTTTTCTGATTAACATACAACTTCATACAAAATATTATCACCCTCCTTCTAGTCATGTAGGTCAAAGGGAAGTGCAACATCCTGTCCCTAGGGAGCAGGAACAACTCCACGTGTTAAGACCTGCTGAGGCCAACTGGCTGGAAAGCAGATTTGTCAGAAAAGAACCCAGAGCACTTGACAGACATCAAATTGAAGATGAACTAATGGGCCTGTGAGGCAAAGAAGGTTAATGGTATTGTGGGCTGCATTTGTAGGAGTGTTGCCAGTAGGTCAAGGGCTCTGTGCAGCACTGGAGAGACACGTGGAGTAGTGTGTCCAGTTCAAGGCTCCCCAGTACAAGAGAGACATGAACATACTGGAGAGAGTCCAGTGAAGGGCCACTAACCACCCTCTGGAACACCTCTCACATGAGGAAAGGCTGAGAAAGACAGCCTAGGGAAACCCTGCAGGGATCAAATCAGTGCAAACAAAAGCCAATGGGAGGGTGTACTGAAAAGGGAGGGAACCAGCCTCTTTGCAGAGGTGCCCTGTGACAGGACCAGATACAAGGGGCACAAACTGAAACACAGGAGATTCCCCCTGAACGTCAGGAAAACTTTATTGTGAGGGTGACCAAGCACTGGCAAAGAGCCCAGAGAGGCTGTGGAGTCTCCATCCTTGGACATGGATTCAAAAGGCATCTGGATACAGCCCTGAGCAACCAGCTCTAGGTGACCCTGCTTAAGCAGTGGGGCTGGACAAGGTGACATCCTGAAGTGGCTTCCAACTTCAATCCCCGTGTGATCTGGTGATACACACTACGGTTGTACACTGAGGAAGCAGGAAAACCAGGGCTCCTTGAGTAAATGTGACCTTTTAAAACTGCCAGTACCAGTCTTCCAAAGGAAATGCATTGAGGGATAACAAAGGTGAGCAACAAAATACTTGTGGTCCCCAGTGGAACCAGGCATTTGTTCCCTGACTTATACCAACTGCAGTCAAAGAACAACACTAAAACTCCCAGACTCACAAAAATCCAACAGATCTACTGCCGGAAATTCTTTGCATAGAAATAAATGCTTTGGGGTGAAATTTCCATTCTGTACACTTTAACTTTTACGACAGTTCCGTTTGGATGCAACTTGATTTCATATTCTTGTCAGTTGATTGTTTCACCCTTAACACTACAGAGCTTGCTCCTCTTATTTATATAACCGTGCTCCGAGTGCTGTGAACTGCAAGGAAGAGTTACGGGGGTAAACTGTTAAGAGCCTGCTGATCCTAGAAGGTTTACACCAACTTACTTTTACTGAAAGTAGCTATTTAGTCTTCTTACCAAGAGGTGGTTAAGAAAGAAGTGAGGAAGAGGTAAACAGATGTCCCACAGAATCTCTGTAGGAGTATCCACAGAGGTTTACCCATCAGCAGAAACAAGAGACACATGAACTAGTACTCTCAAGGCTAGTGACCACAGACAGCTTCTTATCCTTCTTGAAGAAGAAATTTCTAGACAAGTTCTATGAAGTTCCCACAAAGATCTCAGACCAGATAGGCCATTGTTAATTCTCAGAGGTTCTAAACAGACTGTCAACACACTTGCAGGACATTTTTACTTTCAAAAAAGTCACAAACACCACTACTCACTTTTTCTACAGAGTAGCTGCAGTGTTTATCACCATTCTACACATTACGAAGTGAAACATGTCAATCTGAAAGGGATTACTTTTACAGAACAAAGTTTCTCAGAATTTTCAAAAAATGCAATCATCTGCCTCATTCCTCTCCATGACATCACTTACAGGTCTAACACCACAGAGCACTGGAATGAGAACCAACAGAAATTACAGAATGCAGGTGTTTACCCTCTCTACCTTGGAAGGAAGTGAGTAGATACCAACAATTATAGTTAGTCAGCAGTGCTGGGAGTAAACATTTGCACCTAATAATTGCAGCCTATTCTCACTCCCCCTCTTCCCATCCCTCAGCAGACAAAATGAGCAGGGTCTGATTGTCATCTAAAGCTGCCACCATGTGGTCCTGACCCATGGTCCAAGAGGCAAAGAAGACTCCCACCAGTGGTCTTCAATTCCACTGCAAGACAGGGCATTCATCAAGATGGTATTAAATAGTCTGTTACACAATAACTCAGCATCCTTAGCCTGTATCCTTCATTTGGAATGAAATTGGGCTGAGGTTATCCAGAAAAGGGCAAGAGTAGCCCATTTCCTGCCTCAGAATCTAATCACTACTTGAATTTTTATAAACCCTTTGAATATTGTTAATTTAAAATACAAGAATTTACCGTGACAGAGATATATTGTCTAGCGTTTGCTCCAAGAATATCTCTGAAAAATGGCACATTAAGATATGGAACTACATATTCTTCAAGTACAGGGCAGATAAAATGTACTTCTATTAATGACAAATGAAGAGCTCAATATTAACACTTTTCTGAAGTTTTCATCACTGTGTAAAAACGAGCATATCTGGAAGATGTTGGCTCACAATCTCTTGCTCTCACATTGGCTACATACACTTTCTCACAAATAAAAACAACCCATCTCTGAACAAATAAAAACATCAGGCACAAAGTTCCTCAATAGTCTTGTCTGAACAAGTTGACTGTTACACACCAAAACATGACTGGAAGCTAAGAGAAGGAGCATGAAGAAAGTAAGGGTCACACTGTCTCACTGCTGTTCTCCTGCACCTGGGCTATTACTTCACTTTGGACATCTGTCAAAAGAGTCACAGGGAAGTCAGAGAAATGTGCTGCCAAAAGTAGCCCTAATAAGTAGGCTTTGCTCCTAGGTGACCTTCAGCAGCAATCAAAGATGACAATACAGTGTTATCCACATCTCCTAAGGAGCGTCAGGAAATGCCTATTACACTATTATAGTCCCTCAGAGGGTGTGGGTGGTGGTGGTGGATCTATGCCTATAGATTCCCCTGACACCTGCCAGTTATCATCTACAAGATTAAATACTGACACCATTTTTAGGATCTGTGTTTTTTTCTTCACTCATCCATTGATATTCAAGCCTTACCCTTGTTTGGGTAGGCAAACACTACACTAAACTTCTCCAAATTCCTCCTGCAAGGAATACTCATGGCACCGTGTTCCTTCCAGGCTCAGAAGACGAGCTGAGTGACCAGTGCTGAGAGTAATCCCCTAAAGACCAAGGGAAGAATCAAGTTCAGTCTCACCCTCAAAGAGGCTCCAGCCTCTGCAGGGAGGGCTCCATGGCAATACTCTACCACTAACAGAAACACAGGAACTGTAATATCCAATTCTCCTTCCCAGGCTTTACTCAGCAGAAGCAAGCAGAACATGCAATTAAATAAAAAAGGAATTCTGTCAACTGAAACATCCAAGAGCTGTAGGATTTTAGGTAAACCACGCTCCTCGTCTGTGGCAGGAAGAATGTAACAAGGAGCCATGGAAGTTGTAGTCTTCCGGGTTCTCACGTATGCTCAGACAATACTTGACTGCCATTGGTTGGGAGGTCATGTGACATGTTTGAGCGTTGTATTTAAACCCAAGCGGTTTGAAATAAACGGCAATTCTGCTCTGGCACTCGTTCGTGTCTGAGTGGGGTTCGTGCCTTAATCAACACCCCCCAAATGGTGCCCGAACAGGGACTTCAGCAGGTTACTGGCAACCAGGAGCAGCAGCTCTGGGGAACCTGTCCGGGGGTGTCCGTATCGCCAAAACCAAAAGGAAGAAAAGAAAGAATTCAGCGCGCCGGGTTACCTCTGCAAAAAGGAACAGAAAAGGAAGAAAAAAGGACCGGAAGAAAGGACAACAGAGCTTCAGCACAGAGGTAACCAAAAACTGGCGAATATGGGAGGGTGGTTTACCCGTCAGGAGGGAATTACTCCAGAAATCAAACAAACAACTGAAGCTATCTCTCGATTTTTACAAGAACAGAGCATAAACATAGAAGAAAGTAAGTTATGGGACTTGTTATATTGGATTCCTTTGCATGAACCTGCATTACCTCTAACTGGACCTTATCAAATATTATCTTGGAGGAAAACAGGGAACAAGATTATTGAAAAAGCCAGTGAAGGAAAAACAGACGCCCTCAAGAATTTAGCTACATGGAAGGACATTATGATAGCTTTAAATATGCACTACAGAAAGGCAAATGCACCCGTGAGAGTGGACATCCCCCCCACACTCCTTTCCCCTCAACCCCCCCCCTTCAGCCCCAGCCCCCACCAACCGAGTGGCGCGGAAGGGGATGCACGTTGGCCGGGGGCCCACCTGGGCTTGGGGGCTGGCGGCGTGGGCATGGCAGCAGGGGGGGGATTCTGGCTTTATGCCAGCGCCCATGGCTGCAGCTGAGGCTGTGCCGTACAGAGCAGCGAGCGGTGCTGCTGGAGCCGGGGATGGTTACAGAGCAGCGCCGACCCCGGGACCGTTACGGGGCCGCCGTTACGCGGCGGTTGCACAGTTAACGTGTGGAAGGAGAGTGACAGCAGAGGTACCACCATGTTGCCTCTGCCGCACGGCACAAGTGAAGCCTTCACTTCCCCCGCCACCCCCAGGTTCAGGCCTTTCACTGGGAAGGGGGGAGGATGACTATGACGGACAAATAGACGGCGAGTCTATAGAGGACACAGAAGAGAATCTGCTAGTTCCCTTTAGCCAGGGCGGTCCACTAACACCCTTTGGCTGCGCAGCGGCCATGAGACCGCTGCAGAACAACCACGCAGCAACATGGAACACAGCAAGTTTAGTCCGGTCGTGAGGCGGAAGTGAAAGTGCCTCTTCCGTCACCACCAGTTCAACCAACTCACA